CACTCTCAATTGTTTTAATAAGACGACCGAAACACCTCTTTACTATGTAATTTTAAAGTAAGATTTTAAGAAGGGATGTAATAGAATAGTATCGTGATAATGATAAACAAAGAATAGTATTATTAGTAACAATAGTAATAAGTATATATTAGTGATTATTTTAATATTAACAATTAGTAATAGTTATATAATGACTATATAATAAGCAAATGCTATTCTAGTGGCAAGAATAACATATTAATAAATACTGCTATCATAGCAATAGTGACATAGTATTATAAATATATCTTCAAAAATTGCATCTATTAAATCAGTGAAGGTATCCTTACGGAGGTTTTTTATAATGCTGGCAGTATTACTTTTTTTTTAGATATGCTCCAGAAAAGAGTAGTCTCCTAAACCCACTCACTGTTGGGATTAAAAAAGTAGTTTTTTTTTTATAGTTATTTTACTCTCAACGACTGTAGTATAATAGTACAAGAAATCAATAAATTAAACATTCTGATTGTCCCTTATACCTGCTTGGCGCTCCTTTCTTGCTAAGTGTGCGTCTGAATGCTCAAAGGCTAGATAAGCTTGTAAGCCACGCAAGCCCTATCCAATCTATAGGGGGTATATGCGTAAGCCACTTTGATAAATTCACATCATTGTTGTAGGCTCTAGAGTTTCTTTTAAGATGTAGAAACTAACAAAATTTACAAGCATTTAAATTTATTTGACAATGCGCCGACAGCTTTATTTTATTTGCTCGGATTAATTATATTTGCGACCAATCAATTTTCATAAACGGTCATAATTATACTTGCATTTTTCTGTACGTAACGACTACTTAAGGTTTTTCACCTAAATTAAACTTAATCCCGTTGCCCTCTTAGGTAAAGGCGCCTTTCGCATACTCCTTATTCAAGTTTCCCTTTATCTACCGTAAATAGTTTCTAAGTCCTTTTTCTATCTCAGGCTCTTAGTAATAAATTCTGTTCCCGCCTGGGCAGAGATTTAACATAGTTGTGTCATAGCTCTATCCTCGCTTTAAGCTCTCATTACCCCTACTTAGTTGTTTTATTTTAAGTTGTATATCTTTAGCTATCAAAGAGGTTGATTGTGGTAATTGCGGATGCTTAATATTTTAAGAGAACCTTACAATTCTAGTCATAACAGAAACAGAGTTGTTAATCGTTGTACACTGATGCACACTAGCATGTAATTATTTAAAATTATTGAATTCCTTCTTGATTAAATTAAATTATATTTAAATAATAATTATCCTTTCCATTATTTGTACAAAAATTTAGAGACACTTTTGTTTTAAAAACTCCGAGTAAGTTATGACCAAAAATACAAATTATTTCGTTTATAAACTTTTAAAGGTAATGCTACTCCTTTGTTTACAGTACATATATTAAAATTCACTTAAAAATGTTGTTGCCCTTGAACCCTAATTAGTATTTTATTTTTCTAAGTTAAAAAATATTCCTTCGTTTTATTTAAAAGTTTAAACTATTAAAAGAATACTTTATTAAATGTTATAATTGCTAAAAGCAAATATAAAGTCATTGCAGTTGCTTCTCAACCGATGTATAAAAGAAATTCTAAACTAATCATAAAACCATTGTTAAATATATATAAATAAAACCCCGTAAAAAACCTATACTTACACCTAGTTGAGTAACGGATCCCATAAAAGATCGTTTAGAGATAAATTAAGCAATAACGTTGTTAACACATTTTTTTTTTGGGAGTATATACAAGTACGGTAATAATTGATCTCTAAATTTTTTATGGAAACCAAATAACCATCTAATTCATATGTTTATAGGTGTTTATTTCAAATCTAATTAAATTACATAAATGATTTTGATTTTTACTTTTTGCAAAGGCATGTAACACCGTTTAGTACCTTCTTTCTTATTGGCTTGCAAATTGAATATTAAACTATAGGCTACAAATTTACACGTGCAAATACTTTGTCGAATTATTACAAAACGAAAGACAAGAAAATAAAATTATGTCGAAATAGTGAAAACAGAAAGAATGATTTACCACCATATTATGGTAAATTATTACTAGCTAATTTTTTTTTTTTTAGTTTTAAAACAGTATAAAAATGCCACTTACGGTAAGAGCCGACGTTTATATAGTTTGTTAATAATACAGATTTCCTGCTTCAGCTCTTTGAGTAAAACTAAATTTCGCTAGCAAAAAAAATTAATCTATTGAACGATCCATTGTTACTGTTCTTCTTACTGATATAAGCCTTCTCAGATAAAATTTTGCTGTTGATTTGCTTTTATTAACTTTTATAAAAGAGTTTATAATATTATAAGGCTTTGATGCAGATACTTTCATTTTTCGATGAGGAAGGTTATGTAATTTTTACTTAATTGACTTTTACACATTACGACCTTTTTATAGATATTAACATTGTACTCATTAATAATTTAGTAGAAGAGTTAGGGTTAGGGTTTTGCTTCAAACCTTTTCGGTTCAGCTTTTTAAAATAATTCTTATTAAGAACGATTCTAACAGATTAAATAGGTAAATTCATACCTGAATTAAGAGTTGTAGCCATAGCTAAGCGGTAAAAAGCATTTAGGTGCAACCACCCCACCGCTGTAGCCTCTCTTTATCCGTAGGCCCTCGTAATTTCCAATAGATTTTGTAGGCGTCTTCATAGTAGTGGAAACGTTCTTGTGGAACTTTGAGCGACCCCTATATTTCGTACTATAGCAAGTTCTTAAAACTCGGCTTCTACTAATTTTTATCACACTAACTTTTTACAACCTCTTTAAATAGTATAGTTCTTCTAATGCTTATTAGATTATAAAAGCAGTGGATATGCAAAAAGAAAAACAACACTTTTTCAGGACCAATTTAAAAGAGCAAAAAGCAGGTTATAAAGGTGGCAAGGATGGGTGTGCAAATCCTCAGAATAACAACTCTAATTACGATGTCTACAAAAATTACTTTAAAGGTGCTTACTCCAGCCCAGATAGGTCGAATAGTTCGGATATAAATAAAGATAAAAGAGATAATTTATTAAATACCCCGGGACAAACTTTTAGAAATCTTGGAGGCTCCTACCATAAAATTTCATCTCAATATAGCAGAGATAACTTTTACAGATATACCTCTAATAACCAATATACATCTAGTTCGAACTTTATTTGGGCGAGGCCATCCTTTAACTCTTCTCACTGTTTTCAAGAAAGCCCCCCTTCCTATCACTATAACTCACAGGTTCAAGGCTATGCAAGACAAACTTACTTAATGAACCCAGAGAATTATAAAAGATGCGTTAAAAAAGAAACTATTTTATTAAAAAAGTAACTTGCTTCTTTTTATGTTTTTTGCACATATCATACTTTTATTTATAAGCTCAGTCGGTGCTAAAGAAGTAATAAAAAGTGCAAGAGGTAAAAAACATAAATTTGAGGATAAACGCCAAGGCCATCCTTTGTCCATTCAAGGTTCTATGTGTTATTGTTAAACCTTGTAAATCATTCCTTTTTTATTCATAGAAAATTTTTTTATGTTACTTTACACACTAGTAAAACAAAAAAAACATTTTCCCTCCCTCTATAAAGTATCACGCTAGCTAACAAAAAATTTGGACATCTTTACTAGAAACTGGGCCTCGTTTTGGGGCTACTTCTGTCACACATATCCAAGTTAATGGCGAGCCATCCACCTCTGTATCTCTTCCATCTCTACCAAAGTCCACAGTGACTTCACATTCCGAGCTCGTTCATTCGTCTGCGGATCTCTCATCGGTGGGATCACAAGCCACTGCAGCGCCGGGTATTTCTCTCTTCTCCTCTCTTATTGCCTCTGTCACACTGTTCACTGATTCATAGCAAAGCATCGTGAGAGCCGTTGCGATCCTCGCCTTTTGCCGAACAAAGTCTTCTTTCCTAGTGATCCTGGTATATTTAGTGTCGTCTTTGCCTCTCCCTAAATTTACGTTTTTTATTATGCTTCTAGGCGTACAGGGCGCCAACCCTGCTTACGGTCTCTTTGCGGACGCGCCCTCTGAAGCGCCTTTAGGACAGGCTCATCAAACTACTCCCCTTAATTTAGCCCCTAAAAAGGTCGCTACAGTAGTTGGTAGTTGCGCTCCTTCAAAAAAACCTGTAAAATGTGAAGTACGCCAGACTTTGCGAAGGCAACTTTCTTTTCTCTCCTTATATTCTGTTGTTCCTTTTTTGTAGAAATTTAAGCGGTCATATTCACTGGTCGACGTTCACGAAGCAAAAAAAATAAAACTCTTTTCTGGTAGTGAAAGTAAAAGTTTCACTCAAACACCAACTTTATCGGCGGCATACGAGAGTTCAACTGCTAAAGCTGACACTCTCCCGCCTCGCCTCATGACGGCGGTAGAGGATAGCAACCAAGCAGACTTACCTTCTTTTCTGCCGGTGAGCGCGCTGAACTATATTTACATGCGAGTCTATTAAATACCTGTTCTTTACAAAGTTTGACTCGAGCACACCCGCTTCTAACATAAAGGAAGCTCTCAACACCGCTGGGGCGTCTGCCTTTGCTGAAAGTTTTTTCCGACAGGAAAGGTATATATACTTCGTGTATTGCATTCTCTGCTGCTATGATGGCTCATGCCTTCCAGGAAAACAAAAGAGCCGGAGATTGTTACGGCGGACGATGCAACACATGCGCCGGACGGCCCAAGTATGAGCGGTAACCGACTTTCTTGCAGAAGGTTGGTTTGGGCAGGCAATGATTATTACTAATAAGCAGCATGGAAGGAGTACTACTGGTTACTCCACACACACGAGGTGAATGCTCTGGAACTGGCCAGATTCTTCGCTCTCCAACGGGAAACTGTATTCTATATTTTCTTACCAAAACTACATGCTGGATGCTAATTGTTTTAAATTTATTATTAATAATAGTTTTTCAAAAGAGTTTGCCGTCACTGTACTAACGCAAATGCCTTTATAGAGGAAAAGGAAGCCACAGAATCGTTTAATAAAATTGTAAAGATTATGGATGCTCTCAGAGACACAACTGCTTCCCATTATGAAGATTGCTTGGGCGCGGCCACCTTACTAAGGAAAAATGAAAAAAACGAGATCCCTTCCTTTTTTTCAAAAAGTCAGGTAGGCAACGAAGTTCTACCCTCCCGGGAGTCCGCAAAGAGTTCGCTTTTAAAAGAGAAAAACATCGGAAAGGGCTGCGACCAGACGAGTGGAGCGTGTTTGGATCCCTTATCAAAGCATAACGACCGCCCACCTCACGCAACCAATAAACTTATAAACCCTCGTTTAGTGGAAGGGGCGGCTACGGAAACTATTAGGAACGGCGCTACAGTAAACACCGGCTTTTTTCCGCTCTCGACCCCGTCATTCGCCCTGAGCGATCATGAAAAGGCTTCTGACAACGATAATAACGACTGCAGATTTATAATGAATATGACTGGACGTGCTGACGACGACGTTTCGAACGATAAGCCACATCATATTTTCGATAACTTAAACGAAATAATTGAGCTCTCAGAGGATAACGCTACTAAAAAAGACCCTTTTGAGTCTTCCTCTTCCGCTAATAAGGAGGGATTGACTGATAATAGCTTGATAGTTGCGTTCGACAAAAATATAGAGATTGTTGTTAGTGATGAGGAAATAGACACAGGCATAGCCACTGTCCCCACTCAAGGCTATAGCCCTCCGCAGCTAAATACCTCTCAAGCAATTCCGCATGAGATTACCAGAGGGTATTGGGAGAAATACCTCGAGCAACAGAAAAGAATTGAGCAAAAAAATTTCAATAATGTCAAACGAGAGGCTTTGGAATTTGATTCTAAGATGGAACCTTTACACGGCTTGCTACATCTGGATGAAAAAGTATTATTTTTGAGACTATCGAGGTCGGGGTTGGCCTTTCAGCGCACTGTATGATCCCTCTCTGCTTGTTCGCCTCTACCCTATTACCGATTCTAGTCACTTGTAGAACCCGTCAGCCATAAGCGAACTCTCTGAACATTCAGGCTTCATTACAGGCTGCGCACTGTTGGGTTAGCTAAATTGGCTTATATTTTAACTTGGCTCGTTTTTTACTTGTAGGCGCTGAAGACAATTCCCTTGTTGCCGTGTCATCAAGCGGGAAGTTGTTTGTTTATAAACATCGACCACATTCGTTTGTTTGCATCAAAGAGTTTGATCTCGGGCCCGGTTTTATCTCGTGCCTTTCGGTGTATAAGGTAATTGAAATAACCTGTTCTCTCACAGTCACTGATATATTACTTTTGAAGGATACCATTTTTTGCGGTTCTCAAGATGGCCAAGTCATTTCTCTTCGTTCTTCCAATTTTGAAAGATTGTGTACTTATAGGGGTCCCACTTATCCATATAAGAACGTTTTACTACTTTCTTCGTCTCTGATCCACTAGTTATAGGAAGGCAGACGGTTGCCGTCACGCATGTATATGTTAAGTGTCTATTTCGCTTACCATGGCTTCTAGACAACGTGGTTGTGGGTATCGTTAGTAGCCGTGCTTAAACAAAACTTTATTTTACTCTCTGCCATTCTGGGGGGTTGAAAGGATACTTCAACGGCGTTATTGATTCTTTTGATGGCGCTGGTAATCTGTTCTGGTCACACACTGTAAGTGCCATTGGCGCTCCGATTAGTGCCCTTTTCGTTAGCGAATCGCTCATACTTGGGTAATATTTTGCTCATTGTCGATAACGAACTTTTTAACTATATTATTTAGTGGTACTGAAGATGGCGTTATATACTCCCTGGAGAACTCCACCGGGAAACTGAAGAAATTATATACCCATCATGAGCCTAGAAAACCCATCCACTCGATTCGAGGTTGCATTACCGTCTTCCTATTAAAAACAGCTGCTTAACTTGAGTGCTTGGATCAAGTTATCGACAGTACACTGTATTCTTGTTCAAGCGATGCTACCCTGCAGCTGGTTTCTTTAGAAACAGCAGATGTAAGTTCTTATCAGCGAATCAGCCTTATCAAATAATCCTTAAGATCTTTTTAGGTATTGAGAATTTTGGTTGGCCGTGGCCCTGTAACGTCATTTCATATAGAAAAAGTTCTGAACGATGAAAACAGGGTGACACTCTATTTTGGAGGTGCGAGCTAATGCTTGGGCGCTCCTATACCCTCACGTTGCATTGCAACGCTCAGGACGTACTAAAGAAGTCGAAGCCGTTTATGGTTACCTCGAGAAAGCCACCTTCGCAATCAGTGCGCCATCCCTGCAGTGTTATTGGGTCAATTGCCAGACTGCTAACAAGTGCTCTTTTGTTGGGCCACGTGATCTAGCAGAGCATGTAAACCTGCACTCAAGAAAGTTGAAAGAGGCAACCTCTGCTCCATTCACCTGCGGGTTTGGGCCCTGCAGGTCCTCTTACTCTCGTTACGAACAGTGAAGAGATTAGTGAAGATTGAATTTTTTTAAGATTATCATTTTTGGATTACAAATCTTTTGAGGACCACTTGATCGCACATACTGGAGGTATGCAGCACACTTCGCTAGCCTCATCCACTACAACCAACTGCTTATAGGATTTTCCTGTAGTGCCGGTTGCGTTAACTTTATTGCTGGATCGCGCGAATCTTTGACGTCCCATTACAGCGCTCATCACAACTTTGCTTGCACCTATAATAAGGGTTTTTCCATCCATATCGCGACTTTTACTCTATTTTCTTACTCTCCTGTAAAGAATTTGTCTGCAGAAAAGTCCTCAACAGTGATTTGGAGCTTCGACTCCACTCTGTCAAGCACAAAGGCGGACTTTGCAAATATTGTTTCACCGTTAACGAGAATTTCCACCAGGAGCAGTTACACGAAAAGTTTCACCTAATAAATGGCTATAGGTGTTCTGAGGTATTTTACTAATTCAACTGTATGCGGTTGCGTTTTTGCCGTGACAGCTCCTTATAGTGTGCGGAAGTTTTTTCGAGCGGGGAGGCATTTCTGGAGCACCGCAACTCTCATAAAACATGTACGCAGAGCAAAGGGCGAGAGAATCCCTCTAGCATCCAAGCCGACCAGCCGCCTCTAAAGAAGAAAACGACTCGAAAGGCGGAAGGGCAGAGGCCGCTACGCCCAAAGCCTACCTCCAGCCGTCCTGGCATCCCTGACGACCAAAAAATTTCTTCTGCAGAAACTTTGAGGCTTTTGAAAAGTTCGGATCCCTACTACATATTAGGAGTGAACAAGTACTTTTAAACCTTTTCTTCAGTTTATACCTGTAACAATTGCTCTTTTGTTGTATGCAAAGGGCAGCCCCTTTTTCTATTATAAAGAAGCAGTATCACCGGCTCTGTCTTAAGTGGCATCCCGATAGATGCTTAAACGACAAAGAGGAACAAACTCTAAAATTTCAGAAAATTGCTTGGGCCTACATGCAGTTAAAGAAAACGAAATTTTAAAAATATTAGTTGCACCCTGAGACACTTGAAAATTAATTAGAGTCTTCAGCAAAGATCGATCAAGCCGAAATTGTCCTTTCATCTATTAGACTCAGTGGTTTACGGGTGAACTTTTAGGATCAATGTGTTTTATGGAGGGTTTTTTGTATAGATAAAAAGAGGATAAACTCAAGCTAAATAAAAGAGTAACGCACTTTGGTCATAAAAGTTAGTACAAAAGGCTTTATTAGTTTAAGCAGTTAACAGACACTCTTAGTAGACTTTTATCCTGGCGGCCAAGTCAACTGTCTCCCCCCGAGAATATGCAAGTGGAGATGGTGCACCGACTGAGCACCATCCTTACCATCGTTGATAACTGTCAATAAATAACTTTAACCAAGCTTGAAGGGCAGGCTAGCCAATATAATTATAAAGTCGAGACGTGATTAAAAGATAAACTTAAAACACGCCTAATCTGTAGCCAGTTTCATGTAAGCCCGCTATCTCAGCCACTTTTTTAGCGCGTAACAATAAGTGTCCCAAGAGATCTTTGTCCTTCTCTTCTGCCCGGGAAATTCCAGGTATTGGCTTTCGCGGTATAAGCAGGATGTGGACGGGAGCCTTTAGACTCAAAATATTATCACAAGTAAAATAAGGAAGAATAATCAAAAAAATACATAACCTATAGTGAAGTCTATGAAAATAGGTGATTAAACCTGAGGAATAACATCTTTAAAAGCATAGCATAAGTCGTCCTCGTAAACAGCAGTAGAAGGTATTTCTTTGCTGAGAATCTTGGAAAAAATTGAAGGCCCCGAGTCTTGATTTGACTAACAGCACGCAAGGGACAGTAAAAAAATATATAAAGTCTGTCATAATAATAAAAATTGCCTTTCGTGCTTTTTCCACCTCGTCACTCATGTTGTTAATTTCCTTTTTACTGAAACTTGCGCGGTGAAATCTAACAAATCTAACAAAAGAAAAACAACTCTGTTTAAAGTATGGAAAACTTCTAGTGGTCATTTGAAATACTCAATCAGAATTATGTCCTCCGCAGAAGGGTTAAAGGAAGATGTCGGGGGTTTGTGGAAAAAAAGTTTACAAAGGTGCTCGGCTTAGCGTCAACCATGAATCCCTCTCATAGGTTACTGGTTACTATGTCTACCACTTGTCCGCTAGTTCAGTTTGCAAGAATAGGTCTATGGAAATTGGCCCTAAACGCCGGACCCGGTCTCTAAAACCATCTCTGGTAAGTTTGAGTACCATGTTCTAACGAATTAGGCAGCAGCCAGCAAAACATAAAAATATGGTAAATTAGTTACCAGTGAACGATAAGGTGAGCGTAAGTTGAGCATGTGTTGCTCGATCTTTTTATTGGACAAACAAAGTGTTCATATGGATAAGTTTATTTTGGTTAGATAAATAAACATTTGTTTTACTGTTTTATTTTATAATATTAATTGAAATATAAGAATCAAATTTTGAAAACAATTATTTGGGCTTTAAAGAATTTTAAGCCCCTGAATTTTGCTCGTTAAAGGGTTAATTGGGATATATATAGAATCAAATTTCAACCAATATAGGACTTTAAAGTATAGAAAGTGATTTAGAAGTTAAGCTCCAGGGTTTGCCTGTTAAAGGGTTGGTAAAGAACGTTAGGAAGGTTGAGAATGGTGAGTTATGCAGTAGTCAGTTTTTTAAACGTTCGTAAATATTAATTGTCTAACAGTTGTAAAGTATATAGCCTCGGTAGTGTATAGATTTATTGAAACCTCCACCCCCGTAGTATGAAAGGCTTTTTTTATTTTTTTATTACCTTATATTCCGAAGAGATTTTAGAAGCTTTAATGCCAAAAATAAACTAGTTCTTTTGGTCGCAAGCTATCTCTGAGCAACTATTTCGATTGAATCACACCCAGTTAATTTAAACATTGCACAACACAAACAAGCAAGAAACACCCTGTCTTGTCAACAAAGTTTTTTCAGGTGCTTCTAAATGCTTTATTAAGTCTAAATAAGAATACTTAAATTGTATATTTTTAGTTTTAAGAGAGGCAAGTGATTCCCTCCGACCGGCTTAAGGTTTTTCCTCTAAAGTACGAAGCTTAATTCCTATGGATTCCTGCAACCTTATAACTTAACAAACTTTGTCAAATTATGAAATAAACTTCATTTAGTTGGTATAAAAGTAAGTGTCCTAAATATATACAAGTAAAGGGGACTCTCACTTTAGCTGAGCTAAAGCGCCCTCGTTACGAACTCTAAGATCGTAAAGTTCTATAAAGAGGGTAAATCCCCATAACTAAACTCTGTAAGAGCTAAGGATAGATAAAATATAAAAACAAGTAAAATTAATGAACTTAGAGAAAGAAGGAGCTAAGACAAACCTAAGAGCTTTAAACTAAAGTGAGTGAAGTTAAGGCTTAATTATGTCATTGCTGTGCACAGAGGGGATTACAATCTATAACCATGAGTTTTAAATAGATATAGGGCTTAGAAACTAGAAACAAGGGGGAAATAAGAGCGCTTTATTATTTGTATTGAAATTGCTTTTACTGGTGTTCGGTGGACTTCAACTACTCAAGCTTCAATCAGGAGTAATAGCGCAAAAGTACATTCCAGTTCTTGGTCGAAAATATCCAATTATTTTCCTTCGAGACAAACAACCAAAAAGAGGTAGGGTTTACAGTCCCGTTGCCCGAAAATGAGCTAGTTCTCTAGCAGGCTGCCAATGTACCTGGCTAGCCATTCTTATGCGCGATGGCATTGTAATGGAAAACACCGTTTAATGGGGCTACCTGGGGGTCTCGGTAATGAGTTTCACTTCCCACCCACCATATAGTGTTTGTCATCACGCGCAGCAACTTGTTTTGTTGCGCTTGGAGCGCCGATGCTATTGCTGTAGAAACATAGATCGTTGGTGCACTAGCGTATGTCATTATCAACTGGAAGCAAAACACCTACAATTGTCGTTTATCGGGCATTGTAAGCTTGCTCTTGCTGCATAATAAAGGGTAAAGCGCATTAGTAGCTGCCTCACTTTACCACTAAGTAGACAACTTGAGCCTACCACGAAAATTTAGTCAAGAATGGCTTCCAGGTATTTCGCTGGAGAGCAACACGGGATCTACAACCCATCAAAGTCCAAGGGTGCCGACAAGGGAACGCATTTCTTCGTTATTAGAAAGGCTTTGCTTTTCCTCACAATTTAGTGACTTTTCATTTACAACACCAGTAGGCGAGCCCGTCAAGAAAATACTGCAGATGCTGACACGGAAGAGTAGGCGACTTCGACGACGAGTAAATGGTTATACCGTCGGCGTATAGTCAACCCGCGTGTGAACTGTATGGCAAAGGCATGTCAAGCATATAGATTGCGAGTAGTAGGGCGAGAGGAAAGAGCCCTGAGGGACCCTGCTGTCATTAATCGCTACGATGACAGGATATCTCTCTCACTGGAGCGCTGAAGACGCCACCGTTAAAATAAGAGTTCAGGAAGGCCTCAAGAGGCGGTTAAAGAGAGCAGCTTCTGCAGCAGACCTTCAGGTCAAATTTGGTCAAAGGCCTTCTTAAGGTCAAAGAAGACGACGCCTGTTAGTTCATTCTGTTAAGCGAGAAACCGCTGGGACGTTGAGTGTCCTTGCCGAAATTCCGCAAGGCGTTACCAGCGTCGACGATCTCCCCAGACAGGGCAGCGAAGCGACCTCGCCCACTTTGCCAACCGCTGACAGAAGACTGATAGATCTGTACCTGTTTGTCGCAGGTTATGGTTTTGGTATCTTCGGCAGCATCACAGCAATCCATTAATTGGAAAGGTGCCTATGACCATCGCTGAATATACAAGGAGGTACAGATAACCCATCGTCGCTAAAAGCATTTTTTCATCATCCCGTTAGTAATCGGGGTCGGGCGCCTTTCGTTTGGGTTGTTCTTCGACAGTCGCTTGAATCTCGTCTGATTAACTAGCTCAAGTGGCTCGTCGGTCTCAGCCAGGAATTAATTCCTCCGAAGGGAGCGCGTTCTGGGTAGCTCGATGATTAAAGGAAAGCGTAGCCTTGTCAGTAGCACCCCAGTCACAATATCCCTTTTTTTCACGAAACAGTGGTAGTGGTGCATGTCCGCGATTTCTAACCCGTTTCACAAATTTTAAAAAGGAGAGACGGTGCCCGTCGCCTGACTCCGATAGATGGCTGGTTTTGGCCTCCCATCTACAATTAAAGTGGACCATTAACTTTTTCTAATATACCTGTGCAGTCAATTAAGTGCTAGTTTGTCTTCGAGGCTTTGCGATAGCATGGCCACTCGGATAAGGCGTGGACTTTTTCTAGAGCAGCGTTAGTCTTAAATATCTTTTTGAGCGCTAGAAACGCTAATGATTAGGGGCAATTCAAAAAAGGGCATTGGTTCAATTAAAATTTATCTTACCAATGCATTAAATTTTGAAAGCCCCAAGCTGGCTCATAGCATATAGAAAACTTAGACTGAGGATATGCTTTGGACGGAATAAAGTTTTTCCTCTAAACAAACAGTGTTTAATAAATAAATTAATGCTGTAAAATTTTTTTCTAAAGTTAAACTACGTGCAAGTCATTATTTTACAAGGTTTAGTCTACCGTGGCAAAATCTCTATGTAATTGTACTAGTCTTCTTAATAAACTCAACAGAGCTAAAAATATAACTAGTAATATCTTGGAGACAGTAGAGCTTATTTTAATTATGTCTTATTGTTTAAAAAACTTAAGTAAACTCTTATTGTTAAGGTTCCCTATGAGGCCTTAATGGCCTTGCTTCTATGATTGCAACACTTCCTTTACAAGGGTTAAAAGCGATTTTTAATTTAAGGTGGGTTTTAAATTAACACAATAAGAAAAGCCACTATGCTTGGCTAAGTCTAACGTAGTTAGCATGTACAAGAGCTTATGAATGTATTATCAGCTCAAAGGCTACATTGAAAGCGCATAATTGTTAAAAATTTATAAAATTATTGCCAAGTTTGTAAAGAAGCTAGCCAAACTTTTTCAGTGGTGATGCATAAAATTTCTCGAATTAAAGTTTAAAAAATTAGCGGAGTTATTTCGATTATTGTTCGTATAATATTCAACAAAAAAGTGGTTAAGTTTGGTGAATAGAAGAGGATAACTGAGGTAGTAAGTGATACGAATTAAAAGCTGTGAGGGTGTTATGAACAAATGACGCGCGCAAAAGTTGCTAACCTAATAATAAAAACACAGTTAAAGTGTAAAATAGAATATTAAATTTAATTTATTATAGATAAAATAATTATATATGAAAGAGAAAGGATCAGCTAATAAAATTACGAAACTGAGATCATATTAGAAGAGACGCAAGACGCGCTTCACTATAAAGATTAATGGAGGGCTCACCGGGCAAAAGCCTTTTATCTAAGGGTTTTCCCTAGGGTTATTGAGAATTAGGTCCTCGAGGTAATATGTACTCAATCTTAACAGTAAGTTGCCGCTCTAAATATATGTGTATAGGATGTAGCCGTACACGACACCTCAGAAACCAGATCATTGTTTCTAAACCTTTGAGTAACTTGTCAAGCAACTTTTCACCAACATATTAAGAAACGTTGAAGGACCGTTATGAATTATTTTACAAAGAAAATAACTAAAACTTGAAAAACTCTATACCAGGTAGCTAAGTGAAATAGTTGTAAAAAGAATCTAGACCTCACTATTTTAGTATTAACACGAGTGGTATCGAAAAAAATTTTTTAAATATGAATTACTGTAACCATTTATTCATTATTAACAAATTAAGATAACAATAACGTGGAAACCTGTAGTAAATAACCACAAGTTTCTGAAACACAAATTACAAGACTGCCAAGTCAACAAATTTTTGTATTAACAAAATTTTCTCCCTTTTGATATACCTATATTGCCTTTCTTAGTCGCCTCAAATTGTGCTTGCTTCCACTGGTTAACAAGCAGGTCAGGGCGGAAGGATTCGGTGCTGGGCGGCCCTAGTACGTATAGCGCACCGGGAGAGGGAAGTACCGAATTATTAACAGGTTTTTGTGGTTTAGAGGCTCTGCTTACGTATGAACTTTCAAACTGTTAAAAACACACAGCCATCTTTATGCTTTAATTTGGACTCTTATAAATATGCAAGCGATTGAAAGAAGAATTAAATCTAAACTCTCTGGAAAAATTGTGGATTTAAAGCGATATCCCCTTCGCGTTCAAATGTAACTCTTTAATAGTTGTTCATTCTAGTATACATACTGAAAGAGGATAGGTATGAGCTTCCCCCTTCGGAAGAAATTGACATGGAGGAATTTGAAAATTTGGGTTGGGGACGTTTAAAATTACTAAAAGCAGTCGAAAATTCAAAAATTCGTTTTGCTAAATCGGAGGAGCAAAAGAGATCAATTGGTGAGTTTTTCTTCTTTCTTGTACTCCTTAGCGATAATTTTATTACTGTTTATAAAAAAATTTATAACTTCTATTTAATAGAAGAAGCTTGTAATAAATACTTCCCTCTCTCTCATTTATACAACGCGAACGACGAAAAAGTTTACGAGGAGAGAAGAAGGGATCACATCTCTCACTTTATACTGAAACTTGCTTTTTGCAGAAGGTAAGTTAAGTTTTTCCTCTTGATTATGCTGCTTTTGCATCTTAATTCATAGTGAAGAACTAAGAAGGCGGTTCTTAACATTGGAAACCGAGTTATTTCGGTATTTATTTTTTTAAAATTATGTAAATTCTTATGAATAAGATTTACTTCAGCTTTCGTTTATCTAATGAAGATAGCGAGAGCATTACCAGTTTTCTCTTACATAACAATCTTTATTATAATAAGGTTATGTCTTTGTATCTCAATATTATACACTATATTATTCATGTCTATCTATTCAAGACCCTTTCTGAGTCTGTTTTTTGATCGTTGTGTACACTTTACTTTTAATGTTCACCATTAAATATATTTTTAGTATTATAATTAAAATTAAAACCTTTTAAGTCACAGTTTTAAAATATAAATGAAGTATAAACGATTTGAAACTAATTTTTTTATTTAGATTTTGTTGGAGGAGAAAATGGCTTTAAGTAAAGAGCTAAAAAGTGTGGCTAACAAAGCTTTTAGCCGGGAATCTTTTGATGCTACCGATATTTACAAAGTGTGAGATTGCTTACCTTTTTTGCTTGCTTTTTAAATATCTACATATATATTTATAACAATAGCTGCGCTTTGAACAAGCCATCGATCTCGTACGCGGCCGGCGCGTTTTTTTGAAAGGGGGTTTTGCCTATGTTCCTAAAAAAGACTTGATCACTATTGTAGCTGCTGAGTTTCGTCAGGCTCTTTCGGAGTCGCTTACGGTCCTCCTTCTGGTCTCCTCTTCGTCTCTCTTTTTCTTTTTTATGTCTTGTACTTCAGCTTGCAGCAAAGAGTCTTCCGCTCCTCGAGGAAAACGACCGCATTCTGCCCTTTCTCAAAACTTTAGGTAAACCGACGTCCAGTGCTTTTCCTGCTGTAGCATAGTTGGTTGCTTCTCAAGGAGAGTGTGACACTTCTAACGATTACCGGCCGAAAGAAGTGTCTTCCTCTATCACAGCAGACGACGTCAATGATCTCGTGAAGCATTTTCCTCTGTGCATGAGCCATCTTCACCACTGCCTTCGTCGGGACCACCACTTGAAGCACTGGGGTCGCTTGCAGTACCGTCTCTTTTTAAAGGCACACACATTTTACTTTTATTCCTCAGCAGTTAACACATTTTTTTTTTGCTAGTGGATCGGCCTGTCCGTAGAAGAAGCCATTAAGTTTTGGAAAAAAGAACTTCTCAGGGTTTTTCTCAAAATCTTTTCCGGCGGTTCTGTAATCTTTACTGCTTTTTCCGAAGGTCATGCCGCTGAAGAAGTTTGAAGGAGAGCATCTGTACGGCGTTCGGCATACCTACGGAAAAGAAGGGAAGCACTTGAACTACTCTGCTTACAGGTTTCCCGTTTCTTTCTATTATTATTATGCAGGGAAACTACCAGTTTGACAGTTGTCACAAGATAATCACTACCAATCCCCCGGCCTCAGGGGACCACCACGGCTGCCCTTTTAAGCATTTCGACGCCATTAATTTGCGCACGCTTCTTCTCCAGGGGAAAATATCCAGTGTACAGGTTGAGGAGGTTCTCTATATCCGTTAGACAGAAATAACTGATTTGGTTTTAGCTTATTTTTTTACTTATATAACACTCCACAGATCCTTAAATTAGTAAAAGAAAAGCACTATCAAGTTGCCTGCACCCGCTTTTTTGAGGCCGTTCACAAGGTACTTATGAAAATTATACTTAAATAATACATACGTTTGTTCTTACCACATTTAGGTTGAGCACCCTTCTTTAACCATTATACACCCCAATCAGTTTTATGAAGAAAGTTTGGCCGTAAAAGGTTTACATTCAGGTACTCCTTTTCAAAGCAACTCAATATCAGCTAAAGAGACTTAAGGGAATGTGGAATGCTTAAGCATTGAACTTAGGGTAATTTTTGTAGTATTTACGGAATCGTGTGTTAAAATTTTTAAGCCTCTTTTGGGGTGGGTGGAAAATAATTTTCACTTGTAAAGAAGGCGGAGGTTAAAATATGTGCTTAATAAAAAAACTTTTGTCAGGTCTGCTTGAACTTTTCTGTAATAAAAGAAACACAAACGACGCATCAGGCTTTGCAGGCGCCAATAATATTAAACAAGCCAGCTTATCTTTAAAGTAATTCTTGAAGATAATTAAGTTACACATTCAGATTTAGACTTTTTCTTGATAACCACATTTTTTCTTGATAACTGCAAAGTCAGTTTTTAGTTCAAGTTTTAAACTCCTGCTTTTTCTGTTGTAGTCTTTTCTGAAGTATATAGTTTCCTTAGCTAGCTCTTACTAAATAATCTAACAATTAAGGTAAAAAGCATTTGAAGTAACACAGAAGATTTTAAAATTTAATAAAAGAAACCCCAGCGCGTTAATAATAGCAAGAAAAAATAGTTATAGAAAGGCAAGGCTATAACTTAGCAAAATTTAAAAGGAAAAATAAGAAGAAACTTCTGTTTATTGCATTTTAAAACCAGACGAGCTATTCAAGCTACCCGTCAATCTGAGTAGCTGAACTTTCAACCTAAGAGTTTTATATAAGACTAAGGCCAAATATGTGCATATGTACTCAAACTACTTTTTCGGATGTACTATTAGTTGCCAGCTTGTCTTCTAGTACCTGTATTCTGACCTCATACTTTTTGCATTGCTCCTCAAGAAACTGTACTCTCTGCTGCAGTTTTTGATTTTCAGTTTTTATTTGATCCTTAAAATTAAGGTTTTAAAAAATTCTTATGTAAGTAAAAATATTAATAACGCTGATCACACACATAAAAACAACACGTACCGAACAGTTTACAAGTATGTTAGCAAATATTAATATAAAATAAGCCAATAAAAAATTTAATTTTTTGAAAACCTTCAATTAATATTAAGTCAGTAATAAAATCAATTACTATTTTACCTACAAAACAAAAATTTTATTTTATGATCTTCACTAGTCTTTTAGATGGTGTAAAAAAACTTTAAAACACATTACCATGTCCGCGTCTACAAAGCGAATTGCAAAATCAGGCCTTAAGTCACTTTTCCTGAAAGAAGTGTTGCTCCGTCCTGTTAGTTACGCCAAAGTAGGCGTCCACCCTGGAAGAGGGCACTATTTGCTCTCGCGTAAGTACACTTAATGTGTTGGTCTTAGAGCTCGTGACTTTAAAGGTTTATCCTCGGACCATCCTGCAAGTTTCGAATTCAAATGTTCGGTAAACAATCATTTATTCATTTGAACTTAGTTAAAACACAATTTTTAAGAAGACTTTACTTATAAAACCTTGAACATATATATAACTTGGAGTTGAGTCGTGAATTTTTTCGGGTAACACTAGATTTTAAATATATACTTTCTTCAATCAGTGCTATGGACTACTAACAACTGTTGGGGTTATTAAGCCTGGATGTAGTAAAAGTAGGGATAACTGCAGTTTAAAAATAATTTTTTTTTAATTATAACTTGAAGTTTTTCTTTATGGGTGTTTTTTCGTTACAGCGTATCTGGTACTAAGGCATATTGAAACATTTTTTCAAAGCATAAATAAAAGTGCTGAGTGCACTGTTTTTATTAACCCTGATACGGATGGTTACTAACTACTAAAGTCAATTATGTATATGTGTAATACAATTTTAGATAAAAAATATTGCGATTGTCTAATATTTAAGTTGTGAATTTGCTAAACATACATGAACTTAAATAAAATAAGTTAAAGATATTACTTACCGCGTAATGGTTGGTTTACCAAAAAATTCTTGCTAGTAGGCAAAGATTTCCGTAATTATTTACTGTTTTTGCTTTCCTTGCGGACTACTTCAGTTCCACAATAGTACATATAAAAACCTTTTATCTTCATCTAAGTACAGTTCCCTCTTACACCCCCCTTTTAGCCTAATAAACCCACAGAAGCAAACAATTGTAAACTAGTGTAACATAAAATATCGAAATAAATATAAATATTAAACAAAAACTAAAAAGGCATATGAAAATAACGTCTTTATTCAACTGCTTAATGCAAATAAAAACCTTTGAATCAATTCTGTTACTTAAAAAACACGTAAATATACAGTATTATATATAAAAATTAAAAAAGGGCCAAAGCTTTATTTGGATCCATAAACACCTAACACCCCACTTAACCGAAGTACTGATTAAAAATTATTCAAGGTGTCAGGCAGTTATAAAGGGTTACGATACAAACGGTTGAAGCGAAAGCAAAGTAGTTCTCGTTATCTACTTCTACTATTAACACGAACTTCCAGCAAAGCCCGCATACCCCCACAAGAGAATAGCAACTTATTTTTTTTAAAGCCTCTAAGTCTTCGAAACAACAAAGAAAAGCCACTGAAGTTTTGTCCGGAAGGTGAGGCCGGGTATGTTCTCCCAACTAACAAGTTTTAAACGTCCCGCCCGACTCAAGATAGCGCTAAGCCGCACAAAGGGAAAGGTCTCTTCGGTAGAAAGACAAAGGCTCATAGAGTCTGATTTTTTGCAAAGTTGCATTTGTATTGTGTCAAGATCGGCCGAAAAGCTCCCGGTTCCCACCCAGCCCAAAAGTTCCGCTTCTTTCTTAATCACACGGGCAATGGAAACTGAAGAGTAAAGCGAATAGAAAAGCTTAATGAAAGAGAGAAAATACAATGGTAACCAGCCAGTTGCCCACGAAGGAGATGAAGGAATTCCGCCTCATCTACTTGATGAGTTACGCCTTCGCTAGTTGTGCACCGAATGGAATTTCTGACTACTAAGAAAAGAAGGCCGCCTTGCAATACGTAAGAATAAAACAGCATAAGTCATCTTTGCTTTGACTGGCTTAAAAGTCATTTTACAGTGTTGGTGCGATCTCCCAAAAGAAGGGAAGCGGAACGAAACAGTTAGCTGGGATACAGCAGGCGTCCCGGTGGCCTCCCAATGGGTCACAACACGTGGTTCCACAAAAGCCTTAACAAGAGAGTCAACGCACCGCGTGAGCTTGTGCCTGAGACTGACGTGGGAAGCTGCCTGGATGCTCGGACAAGTCGTATAAGTTGAATGGAACAGAGATGCGACAGAAATAAAAAAGGTATCGGAAAATTGTCATTACGAGATGAATGATCTCTAAGAGCCTAGCACCTTCTTCATTGAAAGAAAGTCTTTTGCTAGGCCGGATAGTATTCTCTAAATGCCGCTTGTAATAGCCAAGTGGTATTTTGCGGTGGAGATGGATCCTTCGCAATTTTTGATGTAGCAAAACACAGAGCATGAATTGGTATATAACGGGCGGCAGTAGAGAATTAGAAAGCCCAGCATCGTCACTACACTCGCCTTCGCTCTGACCTTCTTCTGCCCACTGAAGAATGAGAAATGTACCGCTGCCGAGATCAAGACGCAAAAGTGAAGTGTCATCCGTAGCGGCCAGAATATGAGGACAGTGAAAAAGATCTCTGAAGAGACGTGGCAAAAGGAACAACAGGAGCATAAAAACAAACGGCTAAGTAATACCTTTTCAACAAAAAGAAGATTTCTTTGCAAAACAGGGAAAACTGGACTTCTCGCAGCTTCTCTAAACTGCCCTCGTGCACGAATTTGTAGTAACATAAACTAGAGAAGCTGCAATCTTTGAGAGAAGTGTGACTCGAAAAAGCAATTTTGAGAAGTCTTAAACGATTAAGTTCCCCTGGAAGACCAGCTTCCAGTTTAAAAAAATTAGTTTTACTACTACCAAGTTCGAGTGAGTCCTCGATCAACTACAGAGTTTGATAAAGAAGCAAGGATATATAACAAAATATTTAGTTGACAAGTACCAAAGGAAATTCTGTGGCATACTCAGAACCGCAAGTGTAATAGGAAGGATCTAAGTATATTCGAGATCCTTCCAGCCGTAACCTTAATGAAATAAAGAAAAATAATAGGTAATGCGAGTTGCGCTAAAAGTTAAACCAAAAAGTATTACCTCCACCGTTTTTGAAGATTTTTAATTTCAGTATGAAAAATGTCTTTGTCGACGATGTGCTTCAACTGTGTATAAGCTTTCTACGGAGAGCGATACTTTAATATAATTTTTTAATAATATTGAAGTAAAGTTAACTAATATACAATACTCCTGTTACATGAGGAGTACGTATACAGCATACAACTCAAAAAAATTTAAAATAAGAGAGTGCCAACAATAAAAGATGATGCCATCAACTCACGTGTTTACTAATTTAAATGACTTGAAACGGAGAAAAAAGAAAACTATAAAAACTAAATTTTTTTATATTGAATAATATCATAAACCTTTAAAATATTACTTGATAGGGAAAACAATTTTTTCTTGTTTCTTAAAAGCATTGTATAGTTGGTGGTAGGAGGAAGTAAGTTGGAGTCTACATCAACTTCGCGTTTAATATACTTCTCATGAAGCAGAATTTTAAGTAAATCAGAAGCAATATTCACTTCTTCTCTAGAATAATACAATTCAGTGGCTACAGCTTCAAAAGTTTTAGAGGCATCCATATTAACATCTTCAGTTGGTGTTAGTGGGCCTGTAGGATCTTGACTTTTATAGAAAAGATTCATAGAGTGTTTTTCTTCTGGTGAAGCACTTACATTTTCGGTATTTTCTGAATCTCCTGTATTTTTAAATCTAATATAGTCTTGTACTGCTTTCTCCATCTCTTTTCCTCCAGTGGAAAAATCAAGCAATCTGACTTTATCAAATAGTAACTCCCATGGGGATGGCTCTTCTTTAATCTCCTAGTATGTCATTAAATTTGAACTATACCTGCAACTTAATAGCTAAATAAACGTTATGAAACCTCTTGAATAATTCCATTTTCGTCTTGGAGGATTTGAATGACCTCTGGCTCGTCTAACGGTTTTGGAAATATACAAAGTTGGTTAGAGTTATCCGGGCTATTTTCATAATTTGAAACATGGCCGTCCATTACAAATAAGAAGAACTTACAGATACAACTTTCAAATTAGGAATTGTAACAGAGGAGTTGATAACATACTATCAGTAGTTTTAAAGGCTTGTGTATGAACCAAAAAGAAGTTATTCTTGTAATTTTCTTTAAAAAAGAAACAAATTTAATTCCTAAAAAAAATAGTTATTGCAACCCCTTTTTCTATCCCGGCTCAAAATCTTTATTCATAAAAGACTAGAGTGTGTTGTTCTTTAATATGTTCACCTCGAGACCCCTATCATGAGGCCCCCAGAAAAAAGTAAAGTGCACAGGTTGGGGACTCAAGGTTTCCTAAGCGCACGTGCACTGTGCCCTTACAAAAAAAGAACCACCAGTAAGTCAATGGGTTAAAATTTAAACATTTTTGAAAATATGTAGGTGGACAGTGTTTAAAACCTGCTCGCTGCTTGTTAAGTGAAAGACGGTCTATAAAATGTCAGGGGGTTGTGAAGAAAAAGGAATGAGGCTTCTTGCACCAAGTTGTACAAGTGTGGGTGGCTTTAGAAAAGTTCGTATTAGATGTAAATTTTACGTTAGGGATCTTTTATTTTATTACAACTTAACCTTTAATATTTTAAAAGCCATCAATTAAACATTAACGTATAAAAAATTTTTTCTTTAACCAATATTAAAAACTTGCCATGACACATCACTTTTATATTTTCTTTAATATGGAAATGAAAAAACTATTAAAGACCGAAGTTAAAAAAAGATAGAAAGGTTGAATGTATTTTATGTAAGGTTTTCCTTTATAGTATATTTTGTTCTCCACTAGGGACTGTTGTAGTATTTAGCTGTTTTACATATATTTGGCCACGGTCGATAAGGCTGACCATATAAAAGGTTGTTATTTACTAAATAAACAACTTTTTTTTAAAGAGATCAAAAATTTTTTTTTTAAGAAATTCTTTTGCAAACAGCTCGAATACTCTTTTTCTCAAAAAAAAAATTTAAATGTAATACCTTGTGAAGTATTAACGAAAGATAAATATAGTTATTTTAATGGGTAGATTCAAGTCAGGTCTGGCTAGAAAGAAAGGGAACCTCAAAGATCTCTTATGAGCGTGCGTTATTAATAACATAAAAGAATTAGCTAAGACGCTTTAAATGGTAGTATAGAAAAAAGTCTTTACTCTATATAAGAAAAGTGAAATAGCTAGGAAGGAAGGCTTTAATGACATTTACGAAGAAAATTATTGTCGGACGCAATTGCAGCCACTTGAACGGATAGCTCCTTAAAGTGTAATCTGTGTAAATAAATGTAGTACAGCAAACACGTTATCGAAAAGATAGGCGGGTTTAATGGTTTATTAACAGAATCCGAGACTTATGAAGTGTAACAAATAGAATTAACAATAAAAGTCTTTTTGACAGTCATCACCTTTGACAGTCACCACCGAAAAGTTAAAGAACAAAAGTTTAATGCAAATTGTATAAAGGAAGACAGCTTCCATTTTCTCCCTCGTCCATTTTGAACAAGCGTGATAATATAACACTCAGACTGCAAGTATCACCACAACGCAACTGATTTAATTTAATAGCATAAGTTATAGTAAGGTAAAATGGTAAAAAGACTCTAATTAAAGTAAATGCTTTATATATGTAACAAAATAAACTTAAACGAACACAAAGGCCACACAAGTAGACTTGAGTCAACATAAATTAAATTTCTTGTAAGGAGTCAGTTACACAACTATTTTTCATTACGTTCTCAATAATACAAATATGTTAGTACATTAGTTGACCTCTCAAAATTCGACATCATATGACCGCCAACAAAAATTAAAGGAGTTCTGACGAAAGCAGGAGAAGATTTAGTCACGTAGCTTTATGGCAAAAAAAGATAGTTGTAAAGCCTTATACAAAAGCACTTTTCTAGGTAAGATAAAAATATTATTAGCTACAATGTTAGTTATAATGTTTCATATTACTGGTTGCATAACCATAGTTATTATAGCCATTAAGAATTTTTTTAAACTTAGCTGTTTTTTAATTGGGTAATTGGGTCGACAACTTTAAAAATTAAACCATTCATTAATCATATTGCTCTAGAGTTTTACCGAAAAATACATTATAACTTAAAACTTTTCACTTTTTTACACCAGTAAACTTAAAGTTTTTCTTTACTTACTATAAATTACAGCAGTAACGCATTTTTAAATCTACTTCATAGAGATAGGGCTAAAGTAAAAAAAGGGAGATGTGTACCAATAGTACTGTCTCTTTTATATTTGATTCATGTAGCTTGTATATGATTGGTCAGAAAGTTGGCTCGAGGTGCAGTAAGAAAACGCCGGTTTTTTATAGTACTGCTTTAATAATAATTTAATAAAACTTTTCATATGTATAAAGTGAAAAAAATTGACTTAATACGAGACAATTTTTTCTAATATAGTCTTATAAAATTAATTTTTGTTAGATTAATTGATTCCCCTTTCACTTTAATTTCTGCCTTTAAACGACCAAAGATTAAAATCAAAATGTCTTTCGTAAGCATAAACATTTTAACTATCCCTATACTCATCAAGTTAAATAGAGACATTTTGTATTTCAACGGGTTACTCTTTCAGTCAAGGTGGGATGTAGTTGGTTTGCTAGACCGCGTTACAGAGATAATTCCCGAATTGCCTCCCCTGGAGCTAAACATCCCTACTTTACTTTTTTTTCCGTTTTACTTTAGTAGAACAAACTAGTTATTTTCAGTAACTACTAATGTACTAAGCTTGCTTCCTTTTGTCTATAGCCCACTTCTCAAATAACATGGCTTTAAGGACCCCCTTTCTCTGCCTGGTTGAGCTTAGTATTCGCCTATTTCACGCTCGAAAGATTTAACTGCTTGGCAAATTTCATTTCAGCCTTGACTTCTATTGTACTAGTTTGGTTAACCGTCCCGATTGAGAAAATTAGTTATACTGAAAGGGGGATAAACCTAGATTTAAGAGCCTTAAAGTCACTACCGGTCATCTCCTTCAAATCATTGTTTCAGACTTTGCCAGAAGCTTATATAAACACTTTAATTCGAGACTCTCTTGTTGGGGCATTTGTTTCTTTTAATTAAAATTCAGTATCTTGTTGATGCAGGCTTATTTTTTTAGCACTCTGACTATTCTTTATATGGTAGAAGTCAAAACACCTAGTAACTTGAAGTACTAGCTTTGTGTTAAGGGATAATTTTACCCTAGTAGTAATACCTTAAACCTGACCTTATTTAACGTCAGCCTTTCCAACTCTAAAGGGTGCTGTCAATTCTAAAATACAGCTTCAGGGTAATTAATTCGAGTTAGAGTTATTTCCTTTATTTTAAAAAGACAAGTTCTGTGGTTCTTTTCTCTACACGATACCGAGTGAAGGTTTCTTTACTTAGTGATTTAGATGTAAGGGCTAGTTGTACTTAATTTATGGCATTTAGCGGAAAAATGACAGAGCTTCTAGTAATAATAATCTCTTCCTACTTGTTATCGGCTTATACTTTGTAATGATTATAATTTTATGGGAAAAGGACGAAGTGTTGCAGCAGCATGGACAAATTATGGTCTTTTACTTATTCGATTAGATGTCGTTGATTCGATAATAGCACGCTTAGTTAAGCTATTTTCATCTTAATACTAGTAACAAGTGTAAAACGAGCTAAACTAGAGAGAAGCAGCTAGGTTGAAATAGATTTCGTAGAAATAGTAATATAATTGATCTTCCTTTATTTAAACTGGTGCAGCGAGCTATATTATCAGTTTGTCTTTTAGGACTTCAGCAGGAAGGCTGCTACGTTTAGTAGATCAAGTCGAAAACCTTGATCGGACTGAATCATCTAAGCATAACCTTAGGAGTGCTAAGAACGATCTATTTCTCTTATCAGTCATGCCCGGAGGTCCCGACACTTGTAAGCTTAACCTAGGAATTTTAGGCTAGGACATTTAAGCTAGTAAGTTAAGAGCAGATGTTTTCTTAGCAAATAGCATTTTGTAGCAAGCTAGCATTGACGAGTTCCTTTGGGTTGTTTTATCATTTTGACATAGGCTTTGGGTAGAACTAAAACAGGAGATGCTTTATTTCACCTTGGGTGAGTTATTATTTTTATTGTGAGGGTTACCCCTTACCCCACTACTTCGAGCTGAAATTGCTTTGTTTAATTATATGTAATAGAAATGACTATGCCCAATGCAACCTTAAATTTACGCTCATTAAACCTATTTAAGACGAGGCCTGACTACAGTATTCTTTATTGAAGTGCTATACAAACAACTATAAACGGACTAATCCAAGCTTGAACCGTCGCTCTAACATTATAAAATTAATAGAAGAGTAGCGAAAATGGATTAATACCACCTTAAGCTTAATAAAGTAACGTACAGTTTAGTGTAATTTATCAAAAACCACAAGCATTCTGTCTACCGTGCATACTACTTTCTTCCCGTGCGTTATACAGTTTATAACTTAAGTTCCTAGTAAACCATCTTGGGGGACCCTCCGCAGTACAAGTATAGGTTAACTTTTGATATATGCTAGCAGTTATATGTAAGCTAAAATTCAGAAAAACAATTATTTTAAAATAGTTATTAAGAACACTCTACTTAAGCTTTGGGTTAGTGTTAAAGCTAATACTTCCTTTGACCCCTTTTAGGTTACTGGTTACTTTATTTACAACTTTTTTGTCGCCTGGGTTCAATTTAGTGATTTCGCAGGAAAAAAAAAATCTACTATAAGCTCCAGTTTTGCCCGTTAAAGGGTTAATGGGATATATAGAATCAAATTTTGAAAAAAAATATAAAACTTTAAAGCATAGTTTCAACATAGGAAGTGATTTTGCAGGAAAAAAAATCTATTTCAAGCCCCAGAGTTTTACCCGTTAAAGAGTTGAATATTCAATGCAAGTTTAGTAGACCCAACCTGCACTAGTTTTGAATTCTTTACCCTCTTTTTAGCCATGCGAGGTCATTTAATCTCGCTACTTTCAAACCGGGATCTTCCTTATTTTCAACCGTGCGTAATTTCTTACCAAGGCTCTTATTAATTTATTACTAATCTGTAGAAGTACTAAGTAGCACATTAAATAACCTTTCTCGCACTGGTTTTAGGTGTCTTAAATGCTATTTTTTAAGTCTTCTTTGGCTAAAATGAAAAGTTAGAAAAAGTAATTGCTTGTTTTAAAGCGTAAAAACCCTATTCCTCCCCCCCCCCTCCCCACCAAAAGGATTATTTTTCATAATAAAGGTCTTTAACAGGTCTGTATAAGAGTACAGACCAGCGTTTTTATCTGTCTGTATCTTTTTAGAATCATAATGCTTGTCTTGCACGGCCCCTTCTTTGGGCTGTGGCCACCGATTGATAATCCTTCAATTCTTCAGGGTCCATGTCTACGGTGCAGGTGCTTCATAGAGTGCCTGGAAGTGCTAATGACTTATCCCTTTATGACCTCGCATAATGTTTGTATACTCTTGATTAAAGTAAGGATTATTCACAAAAAAGGTCGTGCCGATAGTAAAAATTCAGGTGTTCTAAGGTATGATAGTTTTCAACAAACTACATGGAACTGCATTGAGCTACCTCCTACTTTGATAAATCCTTTACGCTGGATGTCCTTTCCGTGGAGTTTAGTAACCTAACGACTTGATAATGACCGGAAACTTTCTACTATATTTGTCTTCCTTTAATTTTTGCTAAAGCATTAATGTAAGCTTTTAGTTAGCATCACCTTTATTTAACCTTTAAAGGAATGCTTTAACAATGAGGATCGTGGCTATGGTTGCCTTGCTTTGTTTTTAAGTTATCAAGCTCCTTGCATACCCAGGAGAGCTATAGAATAGCTTTACGCTTGGTTCGGAAGAACTAGTCCCTAAAAATGGTAAAACTTTTTTAAGACAACAGACATGTGTAAGGTGCTCGCTACCTTCTGATCTTCTAGGTTGTGTTAGCCTCCCGTTGCAGTGACTTGATCCTACAAGATTCTAGCGCTAGTGCTCTGTTGCAGACTCACGTCAGTGGTCGATCGTCTGTTAATGCTACTGTTAACGTACTAACCGTATTGCGTCCACACCTGATCTTTGATTCGTCTGCATTGATACGGTGGAGACTGGGCTGGTCCTTCACCTCTTATCTCATCTTATTGATGAGAGAAATCATGGTCTGGGCTAAGTTATGAACAGTGCTGCAACTTAACAAATTGGAATAGTTTCGGACGAGAGCCATGGACGTACTCTTATATCTCTAAAAGCTTTGAGGATATATAATTGATCCTAACCTAACAACACTATTAGCCACTTTATATCGGTGGTTCGTGACCAGTTATAAACTGGTTCTATTCATCAGAGGTGTTATTATATAGTATTGTACTATACTGGTATTTTTAAATGAAATACGGGTCTTCTTTGGCTGAGGTAACTTGGCTAGAGATTAAAGTACTCTTTCTTTCATATATAGGTGCATGTGTAGTATAATACCATATAGGATCACTTTACGATTGCTGTTGTCTACTGGTATACCCTATACTGAGCCCTGCCTCCCATTTATAACTATGTTGGCCAACTAATGACCTAATTATATTTACTAATAAGAAAGTTGTAGCACTGCGCCTTTGCAAGGTTAAACACATACAACACCTTAAATAAAATCTTTTATTTTAAGGCAATACGTATTGTATACTACTCGTGTACCACCTATTATTGCGTCTTGTATGATAATACAAAAAAGGTGATTTGTGCTTTATTGTGGGACAGACTTAAACCAAAAATATTTTTTCTAAATCGAAGCAAAAGCTTAACAGAAGTGTTAATGAAGTTTATGGAGTTGGTGAAACTGAGGCAAAACTGAATTGCAAGCCAAGATTAAAGAAGTTTGGCAGAAATGAGAAACTATAACAGTTTATAGGATATGGCTACGCAAAGTTACTGAGGCAAGATATAAACATTTATATTTAAAACAAGTTTTTGTTGACTGTTACTGAAACCGAAACTACTTAAATCACTTGCCTTTACCTTTACCAGGCTGAGGACAACTTTTTTTTAATCTTACCCAGTGAGATAACTTTTAACAGTGTAACTTACTGTGACAATCAGACGAGGTTATCGCATAACAAAGATATTTTTGTTGCTGCCTTAAAAAAATGACATAACCTCGGAATTTAAAGTGTCCGTTTTAATAAAAACCCCTTACATACTTCGATAGTAAGCTATATAACAAATAAAAGTAACTAGTCTTTACCTTTTATTTTCAAATACAGCAAAATAAGAATAAAACAAAACCTCCCGTTTAAATAATATCCACCAAGTCCGACTATACCGATACAATCTAACCTAGCAAACATATAATTACTCAAAGTTTAAAAACGGCGCAAGGAAATTGCTCAAATATGGAAATAGTTATTATAATAACAGTTAGATATTTCAGACGTTTTAAACTTAAACCCGTGTAAACGAATACGCAAATGGCATGAAAGTTTATATACGATTTCTACTTACAAAAGTTTAGAAACTCTTTAAAAATTCTTCGATTTTTGCGCGAAGATTTTTCTCGGTGTCTCTGGTAAGCTCAGCCTTACTAGCGATATCATCGAGAATGCCTTTGCCACTGGAATGCATGAAGTCCAGAAACTTTTCTTCAAACTCACCCACGCGGTTCAAAGGGAGCTGGTCAAGGAAACCTCGAGTGCCAGCATACACTACCGCCACCATGTCCGGCACCGCCATCGGGCTGTACTGCTTCTGCTTGAGAAGCTCAGTCAGACGAGAGCCGCGGGCCAACTGTGCTCGGGTAGCCGCGTCCAGGTCAGAGCCAAACTGAGAAAAGGCGGCGACTTCGCGGTACTGGGCTAAGTCCAGTTTCATGGTGCCAGACACTTGCTTCATGCACTTCAACTGAGCAGCTGAGCCCACTCTTGAAACCGACAGGCCGACGTTTATGGCCGGACGAACTCCTTTGAAAAATAGTTCGGTTTCCAGAAAGATTTGTCCGTCCGTTATCGAAATGACGTTGGTGGGGATATAAGCGGAGACGTCCCCTCCTTGAGTTTCAATGATAGGAAGAGCAGTGAGAGATCCCCCGCCGTGCTTGTCCGACATTTTCGCTGCTCGTTCTAAAAGCCTAGAGTGGAGATAAAAAACATCTCCTGGATAAGCCTAGAAGTGGAAAAACTGTTAATAGAGCTGATACAACGCTTAATAAAAAAAAGACCTCACGCCCAGGCGGACGGCGTAGTAGTAGTGACATTTGTCGGTACGCCACAGCTTGCTTAGATAAATCATCGAAGACAATTAACGCGTGCTTTCCGTTATCACGGAAATATTCTCCCATAGCCGTCCCCGAGTACGGAGCTAAGTACTGCAACGGAGCGGAATCGGAGGCGGTGGCTGCCACAATCGTGCAGTACTTCAGAGCATCTTCGTATAAGAAGTAATGTAAACCAAAAACTACTAATACCAAAATAGTCGCCAAAGAAAATAACCATTTTTCTTAAGAGCGCTTAAAAACTGTGCCACCGTCGAGCGCTTCTGGCCCACCGCTACGTACACGCAATACAATTTTTTTTTTTCGTCGGCCGCCTCGTTAAACCTCTTTTGGTTTAAAATAGTGTCGAGTGCAACGGCGGTTTTCCCAGTTTGGCGATCGCCTATGATTAGCTCGCGCTGCCCTCGCCCTATTGGTACTAACGTGTCAATGCACTTGAGGCCTGTCTGGACAGGCTCGTGAACAGATTTCCGGGGCATAATTCCAGGAGCTTTGACACCAACTCTCTTGCGTTTTCCAGTTATGGGTGCCTGCGAAGATGTGTTAAAAGAAAGCAGGCATTTTTATGGAGTTTAAACATTTATACTCCGCCATCTATGGGATTGCCAAGAGCATCAACGACACGCCCAAGAAGATTTTCACCCACAGGTACATCCACGATCTGGCCCGTTCGTTTTACAAGATCGCCTTCCTTAATTTCCGTGTCGTTACCGAACACCACAACACCGACACTGTCAGGTTCTAAATTCAACGCCATTCCCTATGTCCATTGAAGTTTTAAGATAAAAAGAAAAGGAAAAATAACTATTCTATCAAACTAAAGCACCTTTAAGCCCGTGGAAAACTCCACCATCTCTTCTGCTTGTACATTTGTTAGACCGTGGATGCGGGCGATACCATCTCCAATAGAGATAACGCGGCCGGTTTCCTCAACGTTGAAAGAAGGTGTTTTATCCAGCAAGCGTTCTTCCAAAATGGACGTAATTTCAGAAGTGGAAGGGGCCGCTATAAAAATTATAATATTATGCATACAACAGAGAAAGCGCTGCGATAAACTAAGCACTTTACATAAACGTTACAAAATGAAGAAAAGAAATATTAACAAAAACTCTACAAAATAGATTTAAAGTAGGAAGCACCTGCTGATAGAGTATAACTAGAGTGATACAGACGAGCGGTAAGCGAAGTAACTCTTCTCAAGGCACGAAACATAATAACTTTAGCAAAAGTAAGAGAAGGGTTAAAGATGGAAAATCAAGTGTAACTCAGTGAGTTATACTAAAATATTCAATAAGCTTACTAATAAAGTGAGAGCGATAAAATTGGTATATACTTATTTATTCAAACGGATGTGGAAAAGAAAATACTATATTGATCTCAAAATCGGCAGAACCCAAGAAAAGAAAAAAAAGGCGGGGAACCAACCGGAAGAAAGAGCTTTGCGGACAATTTTTATAAATTTTAGGAGACCTTTTTCAAACTTAAAACTCGGTACCTATTTAAATGATTTCCTGCCCCCTTCGGAAGGCAGTACACACTTTTTGGTGTGTGGGGAAAACTAACAAAAATAACGTGCAAGCGAAAGATGTATAGAAGTTATGTTGAGAGAGAAAGCAATGAAAGGCAGAGGTAGGGCACGGGGTTTTCCACACATTTATTGTTTTTAATAACTTTTATTTTCTCCCGAAAAAAGTATTAAATCTTAAAATTAACTTTGGTAATTTAATCCACTCTTAAAGAAAAAATTTTTTTTTTCGCGACATGTACAGTTTTCACTATTATTTTTTTTTAATAATTATAATAACGTAATTTTTAAGAACACTATGACGTTTCAATTAGCATCATATAGTATAAACTTTAGTATTATCACCCTGCCACCAAACTAATTTGACGTTTAAAGGAAAAGAAGGAAATAAATTATTTGGGAGACACTCCATTTGCGCGGTTTTATCTGTTCTTTTGCGTTAATAAACTATAAATTTTCAAAGGAAAAAGGCTTCCTCAACTTAATTAAAATTGGTGCCATTTTATTTAAATAAACAGAAAAGCACACCCGTACAAGTTCTATTACTTATCTCTTTTTTTTAAACTAATTTTATTTGGAATACTTTAGCAGTATCACACTAACCAACAACAAGTAACTCAAAATAGCATTTACATAGTCAAAGATTATAACATCCTGAAAGGTTATAAAGTGTTTCGAACATTCTAAACCTTAGTATATCAAGAATGTTCCGGAATAAGAGGAAAATTAAAAATACAAAAATTTTCAACTAAATAAATCAACTAGGCACCACCAAAATGTGCTAACTGGCAGGGTTATCACATTGCAAAGTATAGGGAATATATGTATTATCGGAAAAACATATTTTAGAAAAATGCAACCTATATCCACCACTACTATACCTGAACCAGGCGCACCCCTTAAAAAATCTATTTTTGTCTCCTCACCTAGGTCCGCATTGAAGGAAAAGTTACGGATAACCAATTAAATTTAAGAAATACACTTTTTAAGATTACTAAATTGCCTAATGAACTTCCCAAATCATTCTGGTTGTCCTGCAAAATGCATTGAAGTTCATACGTATTCTATTCTGGAACGCCGATGACTTGCGATCCAAAAGAGAGTAGCTGGAAGAACTTCTTATAAGAGAAAAATCGATATAGTTCTTGTGAGCGAGCACACCTAAAACCCCGAAATATCTTTAAATTGCCCAACTACATAGTACCGTAAAGACAGAATTGATTTTATAAAGGAGTTGTGGCAGTATTGGTCAGAAGACACCTAGCCTACTTGGAGATTTTTGTTTAATCAGTTCACTTTCATCGACGCAACAATTGCAATTAAAATAAGTTCCTGTGGTCAAGCCGAGGTAGCGATTGTCACTGCTTATAAATCTCCGGGAAGGCCCATAGTAACCAATGAACTGGGCCGTTATGAGCTGTCATAACCCCGTAATCTCATATGGCTTTTTAATTGCAAAAATTCATTATAGGATAGCAGAGTGGGGAATCCTAATGGAGAAATTCTCCACTAGTACGCCGAAGATAAGGGGTTAATAGCTTTGGGGCCAACCTACCCAACACACATTCCCTAAGTGGGATACCGCTGATATATTGGACACTGCAGTTATAGAAAATATTAGTTTCGAAATTAAACGAACGATTTTATATGAGCTCTCCTCAGATCTACTACCCGTAGTTCTTGAAATAGGCTCCCAGAAGTCGGCCCTCCGTCTTTAATAAGTAAATTCACCAGTTGGAAATTTTTAAGAATCTTCTAGACTTAAAAAAAAACTTAAAGACAACCTTTAAAGACTAATTCGTCCGCACTTCCTTATGATTCAGTAGCTAACTTTGAAAGCACGATTATTCAACCAATCAAAAGGCCTCTAACACTAAGAAACAATCATATTTAAAACTACATCTACCGACAGAAGTTGAAGTTCTTCCTTCAATCCAATAAGTTTGCATCTCCTGAAGATAAGCGATTACTAAACAACCTTGACAAAAAGTTCAATAAAAGTTTCACACTTCACAAGCGAGAATGGGAGAGTAAGTTTTCTAATCTAGGTAATAATAATAGCCCTCGTTCTTATTGGCAATTCACTAAATCGGTGAAAAACAGCCATAAACAGCACAACTCCCCATTAAAGTCGAAAAAAATCGGGGCTGTTTACGACGAAGAAGAGAAAGCGGAAGACTTAACTCAGTGTTTTCTGTCCCAATACCCACCCTTAACAATTTCTTCAGCTAGGACAACTACCCTCACACAACTTCTATCCTCCTTTAGTAAGCAAGCACCGCTAAAAGATCACACAAACTTCGAAGAGGTACAATCAATTATTGACACCTCAACTAATAGGTCACTAGGACCTGATGACATAACAAATATCATGCTAAAAAAAAAATTTATCTGAGTCAGTCATAAAAACTCTCTCTCACAACTAACGCCACTCTTAGTTTTTCACCTTTTCCAGACCAAGGGAAAGTGGCCACTGCTATTTTTCTACCAAAATTATAAAACCCTTCCTCAAACTCCGCGGGCTATCGCTCAGTTCGTCTACTATTCTGTGCTGGCAAAGTAGCAGAGGCAGTTATACCCATGCGATGGGACCGGCCGTATACATATTTAATACTAGTAAATAAACACTATTTAGTACTATAGCCACCCGCACAAATTTTAAGGCCAGTCGAATGAGTATAGCGCTAACGCCAGTAGAGCCGTATATCTAGCACCAAGTTCAGTTAATTAGCCAAACTTTGCGCTACTTTAACGATTGACAAGCGCTTCTAGAACAGTGGAAAGTGTTATTTGTCATCACTTATTACTAAAAAAGTCCTACAGTGTGCTTTTTCTTTGCTACTTGCATGGTACAAGAGCTTGAATTAGTAACTTAGCAAGTGTCCTCTTAAATTTCACAGGTTCCTCATTCGCTACATCTAAGGGGAAGTAGCTGCAGAACGCAATGGTAGTATTTAACGCTATGTTTTTATAACAAAGTTAAAGAGTAGTTAGCTCTTTGTGTGTTTTCATTATTGTTAAAACAACAAATGTCAGTCAATAGAGCTACAAGTTTCTCGATAACAACACAAAGGCGCCAGGCACAAGGCTTCAGGTCAGCTGAAAAATGAGGCTCCAAGACACAGGGAATGTTGCATTTGCCAAAGAACTCAAGCTGCCGCCGACTTTTTACTAAGTTTAAGAGTAGTTCTTTCGAACCGGGCGTAAATTACCGCCTTTGACTCCCCGGGGTAACATAGTATTCACGACTCAGAGCTTGAATCAGGAAGGTATCATAGTCATGCTTCACTGGGTTTCATAGTTATTTAGCTATTTGCGTCAAAAAGTAACTTTAAGTATCAAATCGGATACTAGCCATGTTTTGCTAAGGATGTTAATTAACAAACAGAGAGCTTACTGGAAAACTGCACAGTTGACTCCTTTAAAGAGTAGAAGGTGACATGACCCTATACAAGATAAATCTACTATGAATGTTATTTCACCTCCGGTTGTAAACCTATTGACCCGCCCTAGATTGAAACCATCGGGCAGCCGCTAGGGCTAAGAGCGACGGCAGACGCGAATTTTATATATAGGCCTGTCAGTTAAGAGCAATTGACGAAATGAACCCAGGGACAATGCAATCCTCGCTTCCATGAAGAAAAGAACTAAACCACCGCGAGGTTCCGAAGTTTGAACCATCAGTACTGAGATTCATTATACCAGCATCTGCACGATTGACACTAAAATATTTCTTTAAGGATTGCCGACGCGTACTTCGCCGTGGTGGCAACGAGAGAATAGGTTGCTTACACAAGACAAGCTTGTAAACAAGAGTAAAATAAAAGTATCTAAAAGATAAGATACAAGATTCGGTACAAGGGCCAGCAACGAGACGAGAAGAATCTCTTATCTCTTATACAGTGCTTTTAGGAACCATAATTATGGTTAAAAGTCCTAAAAAAGGTCAAAAATAGTCCTAATACCCAGAGAATGATAACATATTGCAAGGAGTTTCTGGGTTAATGGCACTTGAATATATTAAATAATATTCTTATTAAATATCTTCCTGTTAGTAAATAATCGCTAGACTACTACTAGTTAGCGCAGTAGCAGAGCAGCAGAGACTAGGTTAGAAGGACAATGTAAATCTTTAAGTTAAAATAGATTTCTTCATTCAATAAGGTCGTTATGGGTTTCTTTTGTTGTTGATAATGAATTAAAAATATATACTAGTAAATAAACGTTATTAGTAACAGCGCACAGTACTGGTTATCCTTTTAGATAAATAGCAGTCTACACTATTACACATGCATTGACCAAACATTAGTTATGTTAGAGGTTATGTTCAGTCGCACCCATGACTCCGGAATCAGAGTAGAATGTTATTTATGTCCTTATTCCATAAGCCTTTTCAAGCGAAAGCTTTCGGACGTGCTTAGTAGCTGTACAGTAGTACTTTTAGAACTTCTCTATTTCTACCAAGATTGTTAATTTACGTATACGTTTAGTTTACATAGCTCTGTTCCATTGCCTATAAGAACGGACAAGTTACACAGGTAACGCTAGTATACCACGCGTAAACTTTTAATTAAAAAGCCCTCGGTTATTTAGCCGATCACTAGAATAAAATTAAGTTACAGAAGCCTTCGTTTCAAACCTGACAACGTCATGCTCTAGTTTTCGTAAATTTTAGCTTACTAAATTTAAATCAGCCTGAGTCAATGCTACAGATTTGTATGATACAAGTAATATAGAACTTGCCTCAGGGCCAACGCCACCGACGCCTTTGTACCATTTTTAAGAGCTTGTTTTTCAACACGGGCACTATCAATTCATATATCAGGCGCCCTCTGTCACTCTTTGAAGTTCAAGACAACCTTA